CCCCCCCCCTCCCTCTCGACCCTTTTCACTTTGATGTTCCTTCCTCTATGTGAAGCCTGAAGTCAACAAAAGGGCTAGTGATAATTATCAAAACGCCTGCCATTTGATATAAATAAATAAATACATATTGCAGATAATCACACTTGAAATGGCTAAATTTGCATTCAAGCGCACAGAGACCAGGTTTATGTCACCGTTTTGTTCAGAAACAAGGGGGGGGCTAAGTTTCGTTTATTAAAGAGGGATCAATCAAATCTACCCCTTAAATAAGATTAAACATGTACCTGCTCTATTTAACGGATGATTGATTGCAAGTTTATATCGTCTTAACGTTAGTATTTGCAGGGGAAAGTAAAAAACATGGGTGATCAAGTAGAGCAGAAAAATAAGTAACACAAGTATGGAAAAGCCAACAGCATAGTCATTTGAAAATAGAACAGCTGCTAGTCGCATCATTTTTTATACATCTTGAAATGTATAAAAATTAAGTTAAGCTAATGGGAAAACAAAACATACCCTATATCCCTCTTTGGTATAACATGTTTCACCATCAGTTTTGTAGACATCAGCGGGACACCATTCTGACTGGCCATCACAGTACTCGGGTAGATCGCAGGAGTTACCGACATCTCGACACTTTGTGCCGCTCGATTTGAGTTTGCAGGTTGTCTTAGATGGATCTCCATAGACCGTCCGGATATCACAACAAGGTCCTGAGGCACATTCGGCTCCCTCTCGAAATTTGCAAGTTCCAACATCACAACAGGCTTGAACTTCTATTGGGCAGGTTTCGCTGCAAAGGAATTATGGATTGAAACATGTAAATCTGCAAAGCTAAAAGGTCATAAAATCTATTTATTGCGATATATTGCACTGATAGGTGTGGTTCTAATAAAGAGTCGCCCAAATACGGATCTATCACCGAGGAGTAATCAAAAGAAACGATTACTGGACAATCCTTTCCGTGGTCTCAGAGGAAAACTATTTGAATTGAAAGTAATTAAATGTCAGATAAGTTGACGAGCTTGTAAAGAGAGATCCAAACAATTTAAAAACCTCCACAATCAATCTTCAAAGTGAGTACAGAATCACCAATCAAAAGTCAAGCTACAGCATGCATTGCTTAAAAATGGCCGCCCTGTTTAAGTAAAAATATTTATCCCCAGCAATGAATTTTTTTATCTATGCCTTAACTTGAAGTTAATTCAATTGCAAAAAAAACGGAAATAGCTTTGAAAAGACAGTTAGAATACACTTAACTCAATCAACAAGACTTCTTTAACAACAACACTGGGTAGGGCATAATAGATCAGCACACATTTGATTTATAAGCGAACCCTTGCAAGAAAACTTGGTTCACAAAACAGATTAGTCAGCAGATAGAAGTTGAAATGATGTGAAGGCTGCTATTGTGATAACAAACAATATGTTGAAATCTCATCGACACAATGGCCAAACATGCTAGGGAATGAAGAGAGTTTGTCATGCGATGCCATCTATCTGTCCAGGACTTCTGCTTCTCTGCCAATTGAGGGATCACAAAACAAATGAACACTATTGAACACCCAGTGAAGTTGACAGCCAAACAGCAGTGCTTAATTCTGGGCAACTAGACGGAGAGCAACATGTGTGTGCGTCTAATACGATAGGCGCCTGAAACGCTCTACCCTGCCAAAATCAAGAATCGCGAGAACTTTTCGTATTGGGCTTGGTAAGTTTAGTTAAGTGGATAAATTTGAAGCAATGACAACGAGGTTACTTCGATAATACTTTACTTATTGTGTTCGAAATAGCTAGATGATGGCAGAATGCCAGTCCTTTGACAGCATGCATTGGTGTTAAATCGAATGACGACAGTATCAACTTCAATTAGCCATATATGTTGAAAGAAAGGAGGAGGAGGGGGAGGATGAGGTGGAGGGAATTTTAAATAAGAAATCGTAATACGAAATGACAAAATAGAAGGGGTATAGGAAACAAGGCAAGAAGAAAAATATATATATATCTGACTGGAAAAGGTTTTATCGAAGAAATCCAAACATCCAGAGGGCTAAATCTAATAAGATTTTGCAAAAAATAAACAATACTGCCCCCCCCCGCCTAGCCTCATTTTAGGTTATTTTTATATTCCATGTCAAAATTGACGAGTAAGCGGCTAAGTTAACTTGAATTGGGATCCCACCGTAACCTGAAGTTACTTTGCCTTCTAAATTGTAAAAATAACTGATATAATTAAAAGATGTTGTTCCGGATAACCCAAAATTCTATCTTCAAATTATATTGAATTTTTACTGTAAGCATGAAACGATAATTCGATCAACCTTGGTTTGACAACCAAAAAACGTCATCCTTAATGAATGAATAGTTAAAATTCTGCATTATCTTATAAAATATACACTGTCCTCAATTCAATAAAACTTAAATAGACACACTGTGAAATAACTCAATTAAGCAAACATCAAGATTAAGAGAGAGAAAAGCCCAATAGGCAAAGAGTGCTAAAAGCAAATGAAATTTCCAAAAAAAATAAATAAACATTTTACCAGGGAAGCCTTATCAACGGGCTAAATAAACTATACAAGTTCTGCCTTTTTAATTCATTTAATAATTTTCGTGTGAAAAATAACGAAATTAAAAAAAAGAGAGGATAAAGAAAATGATTACAAGGTCTAAACACACCAAAGGTGAACGCAATCAAAATTCTAACTATTCAAACTAAATGACCTTTTAAGGGGGAGGTAAAGTTGAAGATTGACTGATAATAAGAACAGATATAAAAGGCTGTTAAAATGCAAAAGCATACTTACAATTTCGCATGAATAAAAACCTGTAAACCAATGTGTATCTTTTGCACATTGTATGCGTAAGAAAGCATATGATATTACGTAGAAAAAAACCTGTCGAATTGTAGCAGTGGGTTTCGAAATCTGCATTCAATAAGAGGAGAATAAGACATGATGAATGCGCTCTCAGAAGACATGCATACCCTGCAATACGGTAAAATACAATCACATTCGTATACACTCCCCAACACCAATGTTATTACAGTTTAACACACCCTCAATCCTTCAGTAGATTGCGTCCATCTTCAGATATCTGCTTTCTTCAATTAATAACTCAATTAGAGCAGGTCATTGAAATAGTTAACCACGGAAAAACAGAGGACTATATATATTTTCGCTGACGAAAACTGACAAGAAGCGCAAATTTCCCATCAATATCTTTTTTAATACTAAGTTGTTCATCTCAAACTTCACAACCAAAATTGAATTTTTTCATCAAACTCGGGAGAAATCTTGTTAATTGCAAAAGAGATATCATATAATAAGCACAACATTATAATGAAGCGAAGAACCCCCTGGTAAGACAAATATGAAGAGCCTCTTGAAAACATTCGAAGGAAATGTCAGTCATTTAAACAAACAGATCCAAAGTGTGTAGCAAAGAACAACCAATAATTTTGAACGGTAATAACTGTTTATATAAGAAAAATTGAAATAATAATGTACTTTGCAATTTTTCAGCGAAAAAAAAAAGAAATTGCAAGTAATGTCGTAAGCATATGTGTAAATAATTAACTTTTTAATTCATTAAGGAGAGGAATTGTTGCTCTCAAATGGGTAGCAATTAATTTCCCCATAGCGTGCATACAGGTAATCGATTAATCAAGGAAACACTAACAGATTTTCTTGCGCCATTTTAATTTTGTTGAATTGGTTTTAATAAGCAATTTAAGGAACAGGCTTACCAAAGGCGAAAAAAGAAATTTCGTCCCAGGGTCGAAAAAATGCTTTACTCCGAGAACAACTTTGCTAGAAGCTCCAAAATGGAATAAAAAGCAATAATTTAATTAATAATATCTGACATTTCTTTTTCACGGAAGATCTATCTTGGATTATGGTAATTTTTAAAGGGATTTGGAGTTACTAACTGCCTTCCAATCTAAAGCAAAGGAAGATAATGAAGAAAGAGGTAAAGAGTCAAATTCGTTTTCATTGAGCACATTAAAGCAGAATGTCTGAAAGTGAGTTAAATTCCACTTTAATTATTTCAATGCACCATTACCAAGTCTGGGTTTATGTTACATTAGTGAAGACTAACAATCAAGTAATAAATGAACAATTTGTGTAGGTGGGCACATATACAGGAAGCATTAGCAGCATCCATGTAAGTACATCGACTAAGTTTCGAAATGACAATATAATCATCGATGACTCAGCAAAACGAGACAACTTGTGCAACGGAATGTGCGTCGCCAACCATATTTAGTAAAAATGTATGAATTTGAAGTAAATAAGCCAACTTCAATAACTCGAAATTAAGCAAAAAATCAATACTTGTTTGTCTAGTAATGGCAGAAGTCATTTAACTGGGACTAATATTGAACAGTTTGTAACATATATTTCATATAAGGTAGAGAATAACGATCAATCCACTAACCACAAATGCTTACCAATCAGATCAAACAAATGACCAAGAGAACGCGTTTGACCGCTTAGATATAGAAAAAATCTTTATCCAGGCGGTATAAGCGTAGAGACAGCTTCTATGAACGAAGATAAAAGAATAAAAGAATTCACACAATTTCACACCAACAGTTGTGGAGTTCAAAATAACCCTACACCAGTCACTCTTGTAGTTTTATGCACAGTGATATAAAGACTATAACCGGTAAAACACAGGAGTTTTTGTTAAAAATTGTCCATTTTGCTACTCCAAGATTCAGTCATATTGTCAAAACAGCCTTTGCTTAATTGAGAAGTCCGGTAATGTTGTGGTGAAAATGGCACAAATCAAACCCTATTACGACTCAATGGAAGTACATTTTCTGGGAAACAAAAAGAAAACAAAAAATACGTTAATTTGTTGCCAGAGCAGATTTCATCCTAGTGATATTCCACGCGATGATTAAGAAAAACCAACGACGTGGTTTCAAGGCTCATAGCCTGGTAACGAGGCCTTAAAAAAATGGAATAAATTTCAAAGTTATCTCAGCAAACCGGGGTGAGGGGGGGAGGCTTAAAATTCGGGCAACATGCTTTCAATGTCACTAAGACAAGTTGATTTCTATCGTAGAGGCGAATGCAAGTATTAGATAAACATTGAAAGAACTAAGAGCCGGTTAACTTGTATGTCGGAAATTTATTCAGATGCATATTTGCAGTCACAAAAAATCAATTTTTTAAACCATTATTTCCACTTTTCATTTGGCGCCGTAAACCATCTATTTAGTAAGGTCCCATTTTGATCCGACAATTAAATACCGTCAAATAATGGTGATATTTCGGTAATTGCTAATTTTTCCACTTTTGCAAATAAGGCCTCTTCCGTTTTGAAGTACTGATAGGAGGTTCGTTTTCTGCCCGCTGTAATATCCAACACCAACACTCTCATAAAATTAGCTATTACACATTTTTTTTTTAAATTAATACGCGCAAGAATGATCAACAAAAGGATTTAATTTCGGAAATATATTTGACTAAATGATAAATTGGCTTAATTTAAGCAAAATTTTAAAATAGAAAAGAACAGTTAAGCTAAAGATAAGAATCAGTAATGGGAATAGTGTTTGAAACACTGTGAAGAGAAACTAGATTTCCATCAGCAAGTTGGCATTAAAACCGAGAATTGAAGAAAAAATAGACCCTCCCTCCCTTTACGTGGGTTAGTATGGAATGATTTGTTGGAAGACCACAATCCGAGGTCACCAAAATTCGTTATACCTATTGCCGCATAGAATGGTGAATTTTCACAGGGCCTATAACAAATAGACTGTGACAATTCCAAAATACAGATCACAACGCGTTGGGTTGGTCAGCGCAGTGAACAACAAACCGCGACGAGGAATGGGGAAAGAGGAAGGGGAAAGGAGATAACGGACAAGCTGTGTCTGCGAGTGATGCTACAGCAAAAGCTAGTTTCATTAAGTAGTTGGACAGAAAGGTGTGAGATGGGATTGTAAGTGTACTTGTAAGTTAAACGAAACAGCTATGGGAAAATTGAGATTCGATAAACTTGATTGGACATGACTGATAGAGGCTTGAGTCATGGTGATATAACGGCGAAAAATCAACGTATTTTCATAATGAATGTGACTTAAGAATAGTTTTAGCAAACATGGAGGGGGTGTATATAAAATTGGACATAGCCAATGAAACCAAATGATTTAGAGAGCATAAATTAACTTACAATAAAACAATATTTTATTTTATTAAACGCCGGGTTGTATCATGATTAATAGCAATAGATGATAAATCGAAAGGAAATTCAATATTACTTTGCAAATAAGTTCTACATCGTTCCGATTAAAATAGTAATTTAAGCAAATTTGAAATCAGGAAGCATATTTCTAACGTTCGGCATTCCTCAGCATCAAACACAAAAATGCTTCAGGTGCCGACACATTAATGATTAGAAGCTATATTTAAATGTTAAATCCCAATACCTTATTTCCTTTTCGCCTGTTTTATGACATCAAATGGGGTAAGAAAATGTAAATATTAAAGTAATTAGCATAAATTTAATCATTTGTTATGGTTACTAATAGCATCAATTAAAGGCAATATGTCAAAAGAGATTACAATTATAAAAAGAAAAGGTGCGGTTTAAAGGATAATCGGCTTATCGATTTTATTTGATTCTTTTCTATTTTTACTCACCCCCCCCCCTTCACAAAAGAGGATTATCGATTTTTCACTATATGCTTTCTCCGGCATATTGAGTTGTATTATATATTGATCTAGCTTACTAATTAAATGCCAGTCTCTTTCCATTGTCAGCAAAATATTTCCCTATCCCATTTCAGTATAATGAAGTTTTAGAAGTCTATCCGACTCCACAGAATACCATTCTATAATAATAGCCCAAAAAGCGTACTCAGAGCAGTAAGTAAGTTAATGGGAGCTCTCGTATAAGTAATTGAAGCGACTTAATCTAATAAGCTCAAGGTACGAATTACGCAGAGGTAGACACTTACCTATCTCCACAGTCACACTCCTCTCCAGGATCCAACTTTCCATTTCCACAAAGGGACACTTTGAGTGGAAGTGGGGTGGATTGAAGAAGTTCTGGAGTGCCACGTTGAGTGTTGATAATGGTGTAGGTGTGAATGCTACTCGGTCCGTTAACATCCACCTCACGCGACTGCCTTGGCAGAAGACTGGTGTGAGATTGAACGGGAATATCATGAAGACACGCACCCATACCGTAGTGCAGAAGATTTGGCATATCTCGAACAGAACATGGAGACCATCCCATTGTCGCAGTTCCAAATCTACAAACAAGAAAACGTGCAATTAATTACAATATTTTTAAATAGAAAAACCTGTTATAATTATAGTATACTCAATCTAAATGAAGAGCTTTTACAGTGATTTCCAATAATTGTTTATATTGGAATCCTATTAGGCAAAAGATCGAGGGTTTCCATGGGATTTCCACATGGTCAGTATGCATCATTAGGGAATGAAGTAGAGAGCTTACCTTAACTTACCTTAATTTACCGTTTTACCACGATTTTGACCTAACACTGTGCGTGCACTTTTTAATGAACTTAAATAAGCTTTGAATTTCATACAGAACCCAGAGAACCGTGAACACAGCAGTTTTCAAGTATTCGGCTGATACCGAAAGAAACGAAATTAAGAGGGCAAACCGAATCAGATGTAATTAAGAATTTCTATTTAATTATTGTTGAAATGAAATGTCAATTGCACCAAGTTTGGTATACGCTCCAATCAGAGTTTGAGTTCAGACCGCAGAATATTATGTTGTTAAGACGAATGAATTAGCCAATGGTACTAATATTATTGTAAATAGACGTTAACACCACTACATAAAATAAACTCACACGAGTTTGTGGACAAATAGATGTATAAAGGTGGGGAGGGGGGAGGGGGGAGGGGGTAATTCTTTACCCGATACCAATCTTTTAAGTGTAAGCCCTCACCTTAAAGAAATTTGTACAAGAACAATGAAATGTAACACTGTCAATTGTATGTGAAAACTCGCTGAAAAGTAAACAATGTCATTGTACAAGTGTCGAAATTGTTGTTACCCGAACATAGCGACTTTAGGTACTAAATTTTCGCAAACACTAAGTCAAATATGAGTTTGTTAGGAGGGGATAAATGGAAGCAATTCTTCAGCAATACTACGACGTATAAAGGTATTTAAAATGGGTGTGGCATTACCCTATGCTTTGACCGACTCTCTTCTCTCGTAAGAGCATAATAGGACTCTAAGAATTGTTTATCGATTTCTTCACCAACGACGGTAATTTTGAAAGAAATAATGATACTTTGTAAGAAAATGAAAAGTTATGTTCGATGGCATAGATCTCATTATTCTCAATCAATGAAATCTCCTAATAACTATAAAGATGCAATTAATGTATGATTAAGTAAAATCTTGAATTACAAATTCGGAGGAATTTAGAAGACTACTCAATAGTCCTTTAAAACTTTACAATAGTCCTTGGGAAAAACTCTTTAAAATAAGCGGAAATAAAATAAGATTATTCAAACAACAACAAAAACGATTGAATACTATCCAATTTACCAAAAAAAGTTAATCGTTTTAAAATCTGTATTAGATTTTACCGCAAATAAAATAAAAGGATATTAGATTAAAAAGGAAATAATCTACATATCATTGGTACGGTAAAACCAAAGTTAGTCAAACCAATCATTCGAAAAGAAAGAGAATAGCTCATTAAAATCCTTGTGGATTCAACACTCCACTCTGTCTAAAATAACACCTAGAGTATTGAAAATAGGCTTTAACCTCTCCTCAACGAGGAGATGAGGTTCGCTATAGAATTACGTTGTCATAGCGTCATGACTTGTGAAGTCTTGACTTGGAGGATCTCTATGAAAGGGCACCCCCAATTCGTTAACACCGAAATTTCTAACTGGAAGGTGCGTGCACGCAAAATGATGGCTAAGGAAGCCTTTTGCTATTAAGAGAGTTGATCATTGTTGTTGTTGTTGCACTCGACAAAACTACTACTAACTCAAATCTTTCAAAGTGAGAAGCCTTAGCTTAAGGAAATTTGCGCAAGGACAATAAAATGTAACACCGACAACAAGGTTTGTGAATGCTCGCTGAAAAGTAAACAGTCTCTCTACAATCGACGAAATTGCTACTTCACGAAGAGCACGATCAGTTAACAGATTTACAGAGTAATAGATTTACGAAAGTCTAGGCAAAAAGGGTAATAAAACCATCAAATATCCAAATACTAACTCTGTTTCTGAGGCTAGGCACTTTGCCAACCTTGCAAGTAAGATGGAGCATTGCAACCACCTTTAAGTGCAGAATAGCAAATAGCTGTAAACTTTTCCTCGCACCTATTAGTGATAGTATAGGTATAAGGTTGCATTAGGCTTTACCAAGCAAGCCCTTTGACCTTGCACGATTTAATGTTTGTTTTTTCCTCCAATTAGGTTATCTTCAGTAAATCATTGTTAAGAAAATTCACGCCAATATAAGCCTTCTAAAGTAAGATTGAAGTTTGCCTCAGCTACAGTAAACCACGGTCTTGATGATATGGAAAGAAAAAATGGTTTCCATCTAATAATGTCGATGACAAACCATCCAGGTTGATCCTGGTCAAATTGCATTCTCTTAACCGAAATCAGATGTAGTTAACACCCTCTTTATAGAACTTTGGAAATTTCGTTAACAAAATAACTTTAAATAGGGACTTACTCAACACCAGTGGCCATGATACAACCTTGGCATTCACAATCCTCCGTGTCGTGCCGAAGACCGAACGTGTGACCCAATTCATGAGCCGCTGTTCGTGCGGTCTCGTTCACCTCCATGTAGGGCGAATCCTAGGAAATAAACAAAAAACCGCGAAAATCACACTTGTGAACCATATAGTGAGTTAGTGATGGAGGGTCGTTAATGTTCGTGTGACTGTCCTGGTTTCTAGAACAAAGTTCAAATGGATTAGAAATTGTGAATTCTGTTGGACCACAGCCCCTCGCTCAGATTAGATCGGCAGAAGACGTGTTTTGAGACAACGCTAGCACACACGCACACACAAAACTTGTCATCATGAATGAACACATGCGCGCTCTATACAACGTGATAACTTGGATGGTGAATTTGGGCTTTGAAATAGTTTGTTCCTTTGGCAAGCCCAATAGGTCTTGAAGAACCGCCTTTTATTCCCCAAGCATATGCAATGCGAGTTTTGTATTAGGAACTATTAAGGTTGGATTTGAGAAATTCGATAAGCTTCACTGCATCTTTCAAGTCATTAGGTCATGGGTTGTAAATACTAACTGCATTTGCTTGAAAGCATCCAGAGGAGGCGTTTACAAGGTTTTAACTATCCCAAACGCATGCGCATTAATATACTAACATTGAGAAATGTCACCGAACTGACACCCTTCTTCAATATGTGCCGTATAATTTTGGCTTCATTTAACGGCTGTGGACTTCGTATTCGCATGAAATGAAGCCCAATGAATACAGAGATGTTCAAAGCTTAAATCTACTTCACTCAACTCAATTTTACCTCATTTTTAAAGCCAAAACTTGACGACGTCGCTGAAAGAGAGAATCACGAATGGTGTTAAGAGGCCATGTGACGTCAACAACGACTAGTCCCCACGAGGAGACAATAATGACAAATGCATAATTATGCGTAATGACCAACTGTGTCACAGGTAGGTGCACTACATAATTAATTAGAATGTATGCAAAAAATTATTTATGTGTTCGCAGTAGGGGGCATATTCCGATCGGTATAATTATTTCGAAGCCCAGAGTGTTTTTTTGACGATTACAACTACTCCATTCCCATGCATGAAGAAGGAAGTCGTCTCACCACTAGCTTAGACAGCCGTAGTCAGGCGATGTGACGTCAGTGATGACGAACAACTAATGGTGGAGGTGAAATGACTTACACGAACAAATGAGACGCAGGAGGAGTATTTGCACATGACTTGACTGTTGGCCCGACCCCGAGTGGTAGAGGATTGATCATCGTCACCCCTGTTGATGAAAGAAGGAAAAAAACGTAAAAAAGAACTCCACCTATCAAAATTAGAGTTTCCACAGGAACAACAATTAAAAGAACATTTGCAAGAAATAAAGCCTTCATGAAACTCTTTAATTCAATGCTTAATTGGAGAGAGAGGGGGGGGGAGGTAGAAGACAATAGAACCTAAGATAAAAAATCTTTAGAAAAAAAATTACTGGGACATCAATTCAATTACATTTCCAAGTCATAACTCAAATAACAGCGCACGATAACTCCGAAATAACCTTCAAGACTGCTTAACGCGTATCTGGTGCTTTTCTATTGGCCAACCAGTCCGTCTACTCATAAGCCCATGAAGTACTTAATGACATCCACCCTTTTGGATAACACCTATTTAAAACTATCGATGTTATAAACAAGATCTACCAATAAAAATGGTAAAAAAATACGAACGCAGTAAGTATTTCGAAATTTCAAATATTCAGATAACAATCGACCCTAAAACAAATAAAATTAAAAAGCGCAGCACGTGTAGGCAAGGCCTTCGATTTATTATTATTTTAAAATTTCCAAAATCGTGACAAATGGGGCCTAGCCAAAATATAAGATTAAAAAGGCAAAAGATGATGTCACAAATAAAATTAAAACACATTTAAGGGGACCACAACATCAAAAAGAAAAGATTTTTAAAAGTAGACATTTCATTTAAAACTTCAGAGCACTTTGTTAGACGATCGGTGAGTTAAAAGAAATGGATAAAGCAGAAAAATATCCTCAACATTTAGCATACGCACTATTCTGCCTTAAAAAATACTGCCAAATTCAATAAACATCTGATGAGAAACAAAGATTAATGTAAAAAATAATGAGAATTGAATTCACTCAAACAAAAGAAAAAACGAAAAATTATAATGGATTCATAACAAGGTCATTTTGAAGGGGTTACTTTTTAGCTATTGTTAACATTGTGGAGTACACAATCCCACTCAAGTACTCTGGAGGGTGCACAGTAGTGCATGCAGAGGACTTCTCAGCTAATCAGCTGTTAATATTCATTCAAGTTGTGCTAGATATTCGACTTGCACATAGACGTTATACCCGCTATACGCCTGTTTCCTACATATCGTCGAGGTAGCCTAACTAATTCCGGGGTCCTTTCCATGCCAAGAACTGAGGATACGTCAAGGCATATTCGTGTAAAAATACGCTACAACATTCGAGTACACACAAGAACTGCTAAACGCTTGTACAAAAATGTAATATTTGAAGAAAGAAATGCGAAAGAGATTACTTGTAGAATAGCTCCAATTTGATATTAAGGCATTTAACTCGAAGTTACTAGTTAGAGGTAAAAAATTGAGCAGACCATTTTGATGGGCTAGTAGTGTGTACACAAACGTTTTGCAGGTAAATTGTTCCCGTAAAGGAGGAAATAAAGCAAGTGCACTTTGTCGACAATTTGGTACTTACAAAAGTGCGAGCAAACAGTCATGCCGAGTATTAACCTCCGTTCGTTTGAAACTGGCCAGTGTTCTTAGAAAGTGCTCCTCCGCCTCAAGGTTAACTCGATTCTTCTCCCAAATCTCCAGCCCCACTATCACAAATTGCACATTGAATCGAGTAAATACCTAAATAGTAATGGAAAAGTAAATAAGTAGATGAAAACAAACAGAGTCTAGCAATATTATTGCTAAGTTAATCAAAGAGTAAATTGGTTAAAATTGTACTATTACCACTTCTCGTGGATAACTTGCCAGTTTATTGTCGTGGGAACAAAGTATCGATTAATTCGAAAAGATAACTTCCAATTTGCGGGGGGGGGGTGAGGGACAAACACAAAGACGTATGTCAAATTTCAACAAAATTGAAGTATTAATACAAGTACAGTAAATAAGAGTTCACGAAAAATACAGGATCAAAACTGTTGACTCACCGAATTTACCACCTTGAAAATACTGTTAACCCGAGTCACAACGCGGGCAACATCGTGGGAGAAGGAGCTGACCTATTAATAGAAAGATATTTGGAGCAAAAAAACATTCATATTTATGCAAAGAATATGGTAATACAATGTCGGCACAGCCATGAACGCATCTAATACTGGTCATCCTAAATGAGTTCAGATAAATACTAAACAAAAAAGAGAGCTTACATGCAAAACATTTCAGATACGTGTAAGCGAGGGCGTAAACTAAGTATTTTTAGGTACTTTGTAGAAAAATCAAACTTATTGGCAGGACACAAGGAAAGCCTTTTAACTACCGGTAGGTAGACGGGAATGGAGAAAAAATTCGTACTTGCACTTGCTTAAACGATTCAGACACCCCCCCCCCACCACCACCTATTGTTTAAATAAACAAGGATTTAATGTATATGTGAGTGGAGCCCATTTAATCTACGCGAAACGACGCCTACTGATTGACGTGAGATAATACTCTTGATGACAATCCATAAATACTTTTTATTGCAATTTTTCTTAAATATTCTTGCCTTGCCTTGCATTTGCATCTGACAGCCACCTCTCTCTCTCTCTCTCCAGCCACTCGAATTCTACAACTTAAATATTCTTCATTAAAGCAGAACAAGTACATTTTTTGAAAGAAATTGCTGCGCTACAGTGATTCCGCTAGCATTTATGCCGAATATGCGCCTAACAAAGGCCAGTTCTGACTAGTCAAGAGTGGCAAAATAAATCATGTTTAGTCTAAAACGCTTGTCATCTACTCCACCCCCCCCCCTTTCCCCTCCCCACCTCCCTTCCCCCAGGTCCAACAAGAGAGTGAGACAAAGAGGCATAAAACATGGGACAAACGTACAAAACGTGACGTCAGATCGTCTTTCCTCCCTCCCAACCCAAACACACACGTTAAAGCAAACAAAATTTTTCATCAACACACAGATTTCCTGATTTTCGTCTATTCTAATTTAAATTAAATTATTAACCTTGGCATGGCTTATATTTGGTGAATCACAGAATAATCAAGCCCTCAAGACTTATTAATCAACTTTCCCGCAGACCCCAGATTCCGCGTGAAGAGCCCTCCCAGTACATCAAAATAACCCTAACGTAACGGAAACCAAAAAAGCGGCCAAGTTTTGGCAACCAATCGCGATGCGGCATAATTTGAGCGCGGCTAGTCATGCGTCACCGAGAGAGCAGATAAGCTGGCTACTGAAACTGCGCAACGAAAGTCGACTCATTCGCACAACACACAAAACCGTTCTTTTGTGAGTTTGGTTTGTGAAGTAGGGGGGGGGGGGAAATAACAAAAAACAACAACTAAAGTGACACGAAAGAGTGACGTTAGCGTAACTCACAAATTTCTCGTCGGCCACGACGTAGAGCTCTACGATGTAGGGGGCGTTTTCACCCGGCCGATGGAATACACGCACTGGCCGGAGTAGCTATTATAAAAAAATAATAATAAATGTCGGGATATTGTTTTTTTCGACCCTTGAGAAGAGAAAGGAAGTAAGGTGGCAAGATTGACTATCATAGGTAAGAAACAGGCCAATGGACACTGGGGTAATTGTGGCATTTGATCAGTAATCCAGGAGACAACGTAAGGTAAGAATTGTGGAACGCGAAGCAGTGAACCACCCATTAAGCGAATAAGTTACAAGCTAAGTCTGAAATCAAATCGAGTGAGGAAACTGTTCGGACACACTTTTACTCGATCACAACTTTTGTCCCAAGCTGACCTACGGCAAATCTTATTCGTCTTGTGTGGTAGGCAAAGCGACAGGTAAGAAAACGATTAGCCACACACGTAGGAGGGAGACTCTAAAATTTGCCACATCAGCACTAAATTATGCGTCTAGTTTTGATTGAAAGAAGGGAGTAGTCTAGGCCTACTCGCTACCACTTATCCACATAAACAAAGACTAGCAATAGTACAGATCAATCAGTAGCCAGAACCTTCAGAAAAAAGCTCAAAAGTTGAAATATTTGCACTTAGTCTAAAAGTCCAAAGAAGGAGGGGGGGGGGGGGGGGGGGGGGGGNGGGGGGGGAGGGGGGTGGGCTTAAAGGTCAAAAAGCATCCCTTTGAACTGTCTATATTATTTATTTGTCCTTTTGGTTAGCTGTTAATCTGAATTGCTAATTGTCTGCAGGTTTTTAAAATTTGCAACAACCTAAGCTGATATGCCAATGTTCTTTTAACCACTGCTCTTTAAAATCGCAGTGACTAGGTTTCCACTCAGTTCTCATACGATTCGTAAATCTCCACCTGAATAGATTTATTTAACTTTCCATTTTCGATCTGAATCAATTTGTTCACAGTTTGGATAGTTTAATTAAATGGACTTAATGATTAGTGCATCGATTACACTAACCAATAACTCAAGGTGACATCTTAGCGACAGAAGATAATTACCAACAAGGCCCAAGCAAACGCCGTACTTTAGTAACCGACATTGTTCAATCTCACTTTTCTCCTCTAATGACAGTAATATCATCAACTATGCACCTTCAAATTCATAAGCATCACTTTCACAATCGATCAATCCTCGAAAATAGGGAATTTAAAAAATAAAATAATACCCAAAGTTTACGATAATCTCGTAGAATGTTGGTAATCACATTGTATGAATTTCAAGTCTGGTTACAGTCCACACAGTTTTTATGCGACTCCAA